TGATGTGGCACCGGATAGTTACTATGCACATGGGAGTAGCCGATTCCTCTAACAGAATTGCCAACGTGGCCACCTGCTATGAGATTCTTACCTAGTCTCCACTACTCCTGCTAGTCTGCTAATTAGTTGCATTTTTATTTCAGGTTTTTCAGTTTAGTATTACTTTATTACCCTTACTTTCAGCTACAGTATTAAGCTTTTGTAAGAGAGGAAAGCTGGTAGAAGAAAATTTCCAATAGAAAGTTACTGTTCCATTGCTTGGAATTGTTTGTGTTTTGTGGCTTTCGGTTGCAGGAACGAAGCCTTGCCGATCGGTCTCACACCAAAACGGAAGCTGGTCGGGCCGACTGCTGAGATCGCGCGCTAGAGGTGTAGTTATGGACGACGGAGAGTTGGAGCGCGATTGCGGGATTGGGATGATGGGTTGGGTCGACGAGCTCTTATGCGGGTAGGAGGGGGTCGGCTAAGTCGGCCACAGAAGATGAGAGCGGGAGTCTAGCGTGCAAAACGACAGGTTGGGTCATACGTGCAGCTGCGGGCTGCGATTGCGAGTTGAAGCAGGGCCTCTACGTGCGACGTCGTACGTGGTTGAGGGCTTCTTATGCACGGTATTGTGATTAAAAAGTCGGAGTTTGCTTCGTTTGCGGGCAGTCGAACGAATAGGGTCGGCCAATGTAGATTGGGAGTCCTACGTCCGTTAGTGTTTAATGAGTTTGTGAATGAGAACGGGAGGTTTGTAGAGAGACAAGTGAGAGTGCCAGCAGTTCCCTGCGTGGGTGGGGTAGTTGGATCGTTTGAATGAACGTGGGTGAGTGGGGTAGTGGGAGCTGGTGTAAGGTGGTTAGAGATTTATGGTTAACGATCCATCGCCCTTGGGCTCATGCCACCTTCACCTCCAAGAGGAGGATCATACTGATTATTATTAGTGTTTTCTCCAACCTTTTAGTATCTTCTTTTTTTACAGATGTGCCACCTTAACCTATTGAAGGAGGATTTTCTAGCCATCTTTAATTGTCTCTCTGATTTTTTCATTCTCCTCTTCCATTGACGTAAGATTGTATCACCTTTACCTCCTTATGGAGTATCTTCCCACTCATCTATAGTGACTAGTTTGACCTTTCAATGTTGTCTCATATGTCGCCCCCTTAGGTATGCAATCGAGTTGAGTCAAGTTTGAGTTGATCCAATTCAAGCTTAACTACGAATCGAGCTCAACTTAATGTATTAAGATGTGGCTCAAACTTTGATTTGAACTCGAGCTGAGTTTTGCATGATTAAACTCACTACTTGGTTGAGTTTGATTAATAGATGACATTTTCCTCCTTAATTTCTCTGTTTTATTCATCCGGTATACCTATATATAGGCACCCATAATCAACTAATAAAATAAGATTTTCCTTCTATAACATTAGGAATTCAACTCTTATTTCATATCCAATTTGGGATTATTATTCACTCTCTTGTCGATCTTTAAAATCTAGTCCTCCCCAACACGGCTTACTCCCCTTCAAAGGGAAAGCAATACCATAACATGGTCAACATTATCATTAGTCGACATTATAATTCCACATGAAAGTTGTCTAAGATGCTAAACTTACTAGATCATTTTGAGCAACCTCTATTCATATCTTAGTTCTACCTATTTCCATGCTAATCCTTTGACACTAATTTTATCAACTTGTTTAAGGAGTACATTCTCTATCCTTTGTTACACTTATACAAATTACCGAAGCCTATTTTTTTAGTTTTCAGTTACTTTAACTTAAATAGTTGTACTACAATTTTTTTTTCTAATATAATCAGTTCTTATTTATCCTTTTTAGTTTTGCCATACAACCATTTTTCTATTCTTGTTTTTGCAACTCAACTTAGCATCAATGACTTTCTTGCAACCCAACATCCTAATCCATATAGCATATAGCATTGTGAAGCTAATTATTTTTATTAAATTAACTTTTTAGCGTTCATAAAATCCTCTTATTACATAAAGCTCCTCTATTTTAAGCATCCAATCGTAACTCTAAAAATTATACCCTCATCTATACTCATTCTTTATTTTATTAATTCAAAGATGACCATCTTCTAATTTTTTTCTTCACTATTCTATTTTTTTACTGATTTCAATTAATACCTAATCAATTAGATCTATATTACATGCAAAAAAGCATGTACTAAGGTACATTGCTTTGCTTTTTTATTTTGAGTACATCCATAACCAATATAACTAGATATGGAGTTATGGACTTGATGTTGATCCGTCATGGAAACATATGATAATTAGAAGCTCCTAGATCACTCCACATTTACTTCTAACTCTAGTAATTGCTCTACTATAAACTACTTTAATTATGTCAACATATCTTTGGCGCATGCCTTTCTTTCTCAAAACACAACAAATCAATTTCAATGGTACTTAATTATACGCCTTCTTAAGATTATTAAAAATCAAATAAAGATCATTTCTTTGTTCTCTCTTCTTTAATTGTTTAAATATAAAATACTTGCTTTCATAGTAGTTCCTCCTATAAAATTAAATTTGTTCTTCAAAATTGATGTAATTTTTCTAAGTCTGTATTTTTATTATTATCAAGTGTAATGCACCATAAACTCTCTAGCACACTTAGCCATGTGGAGCTTACAGGGGAGTGATTTCATTATTGAATATTGCTCGACCATTGTGGAAGCCAGAGATCGCAGAGAACAATTGATCTTGGCCGTAAAGCTAGTTAGAACAAGGAAACATTGAGGCCTTCAATTGAGTTCAATACACTTATAGATGAGCATCTATCTGCTTAAAATCCCAAGCTAACATTTAAGTGGCACTATTACTATATTATATATTTCCACTTTTGTTTTATATCCTGTGTGCCACTATTCTCCTTTAATATGTGAATCTCAACACATTTCTCAGTTTTCCTTTCTTTCCCTGGTACAAATTTGTTGACCTTTCTCCAAAAAAAAAAAGCCTCTTTCTTTGTTAATCCAGTCTCTCTTCTTGCGAAGGATTGGATCATAATATGTAAAATAACGGTATGAAAGCCACTTAACACTTTTGTAAATGTTAAATTGCTTGTATTCTTGTTTGTTGTGAAAAAGAAAAGCTGCATATACTCTGTAAAATCCAACGAAGTTTATGAGCTCTGGTTTTCTTATAACTTCAGTATATTGAAAAATTATACTTGCTGCTAATAAATTACTATTTCTGATAATATAGAGTTAATTATTTATAATGGAATTGTTTTGTTGGCTAAAATATATTAGAGATATATATTATTTTAATCTTTTGTTCAAAATTTTGAATCATTTGAACCTTAGACTAGAGTCACCAAAGCTAGTCTCTTACTACGCATCCGACATTAATGCCAATTGATTTCTAAAACCTTAATATCATCCAGGATGCAAGATGCTATGGCAAGAAATGTAAATCAACTAAGGAGAAAATTTGTATTGTCCCCATATTTTATCTGCCTAACGAAGGTCATATTACCATCCAAAACTCCTAAATGTTTTACACTTTGTGCCTTCTCCAGTTCAGTTCATTGCTTGGTAGGACATATTTCATATTTAATTGGCTTGGTTAGTTTTGTGTGCGCACTGAGGCAGTCTTTTCATTATCAATCATTTGGCAAGAAAATAATAAAGAAGTTTCCACTTTTTTTTTAATCTAGTTATATGATTTATTTTTCTACAAAAAATTATATTCGCGTTTTTTGCAGCTATTTTCTTCCTGTAAAGGCTTTGAAATTCCCTTATATGTGATATATTTTCATAATATTAAATATTCTAGGCAAGGGAAAAATTTGTATAACATTCTTGTTGATTACAAGTTTCATTAAATATTACTAGTTACTTAGGAAGATTTGCAGATCTTATGTGCCTTGTAAGTTACAATTTGTGTAACAAGAAGCTTGTTTTGTTGCAATTATCAAATGGATATCGCATTTTTTCAGATACAGAAGGATTTGTGATACCAAGCTTGACTGTTGGAGACTCGGGACTTAGTAATTGGGATGAGCCAATTTTAAAAGATCTCAAGCCTCCTACAAAGGTTCTTCTTAACAAAGGCCATTTTCTTTGTTATGTTTACTTTTTCCTCCACTTTCTGCACGCAGAAATTAAACTGTGATGTTGTACGGCGTTCAAAAACAGAGTGTGAAGGAAGAGGAAAAGATCTACCTAGGACCTCACGGTGCTCCTCCTGCTCAAGCCAAGCAGCAAGATCTGAATGCAGCTGGGCGCAAGCAAAGGCTCAAACAGAAACTGAAGGAAGCTGATCATAAATATTCTGGGACAGGCCGAGAGAACAAAGTGGAAACTATCCGGGAGCTTGTGGGTGGTAAGGTAAGGAGCAAAACCATGCCAAAGAACTCTCCACGTGAATGGCTCGACCCACATTGCCATGAGTCTCATTTTGAGAGGTATTCCCATTGAGTGTTTAGTTCTGAGGATTGATTGAATATTTTGGAACATCTGCTCCTATAAGCTGCTAAATTATATGTTGAACGGCATGTATTTCTGCCATGAAACCTGGATATTTTCTAAGCGTTCTGGCTGCTGTTACTTCATTAATGTTTTCAAGACTTTGAACTTATATAGTTTCTGGTTTCCTCTTGTTGATGCATTGTGTGCGCTGGAGGGTGAATTATTATGTGCGGACACCGAATGCCGTCCAAAGTCCAATAAAAATGCGCCACATCACCCCTAATCGGTACCAGAGCTCGGTATTGGTTGGTGCCGCGGCTCAGTAATGCTCGGTACCGAGCTCGGTATTGCTCGGTACTAGATGACGTGGCTGAACCTGATTTGACCTCTGAATGATGAGTTGTCTGATGTCCGCACAGAATATTCTCTCCTGCTTGGAGAGCAGGATTATTGATTTCTTTTATGAACTTCTTACGCTTAGACTGATATCATTAATCACGGATCAAGAACTTCCACGATTTCCATAATACCATGCCTTCTTTTTTTGGGGGGGTTAAGATCTTTGTTGTGTCTTAGCATGGAGGTGGTTTTAGTGTATGATATGCTTACATTCTTCATTGATTTGTTGGCCACATCATGGGCTAAAAATGGCAACTTTTTTGGATCTAAAAGTTTTCCGTGAGAAATCTGCATGGATGAACTATTCAGTCAGTTGATATTTGTTTGATTTGTTGTTGTCTGGTTGTCTGAAAAAGAAAGTGTAAAAGGAATATTTTAGATTTATTTGGATGATTGTAAAAGTAATGCATGAGGTTTTTTTTTTTTTTAATTTGAAGTAAAATGCTTCGAATGTAAAATAAAAAAGGTTGCGGTCAAGGGGTGGTCGGCGTTAGTCCGGTTGGTGGTTGATGGTTTTCAAGGCCGGCAGTGGCTAACAACTGTCGGGCCAGTGGTGGCCGGAAATGACTAACAAATGTCAGGGCTAGTGGTGGCCAGTGGTGGTTGGGTGATTGGATGTTGTCGGGTGATCGAATGGCCGACGGGCGGCAGCGGTGTGGCAGACGGTGGTGGTAATAGCATTGAGTTTGCGATGTATTTAGAAATCGCTTAAATATGAATATTCTAAATACATTGAATTTGAACTATATGGTGAATTCTTTTTATTTCAAATCAAATATTAATATTTTTAAAACTCCTGCCTATGGAGTATTTTATATCCCTTGCTGGAGTTTCAGTCTTTCAGATCAATCTGTCTTAGACAAAAATTGACTTAATGAATTATTTGCTTGATGTTTAATTTATCCTAATTGACAATTATGTTTTTTCTAATTGATGCAATTTGACGTTATAAGATGCTAAATGCACCCAACAACTTAATGCAATTATTCTAGTGGAGAAAATGAGGAGAACCTGAAATTGATAATAATTAAATTTTATTATTTTTTTATAATAGATAAATCACATAGAAATACAATCTTTTAAAAATAAATTAATCCAAAGGTTTAAAAAATAGTTGCAATATTGAACTTCATATGTATGTTTTTTTATGGCAACTATTATAAAATAAGTTCTTTATCAGTTTCTTTCATAGAGGTAATTTAATTATATACTTTGGATCATTTGTGACCGCTGTAATTTTTAATAAAGGTTATTGTAAAATTATTATATAAAAAAAATATTTTTTATAAAAGTTATTAATTGTAGAAAGTAAATTTTTATCATAAATATTCCTTGAAAATAGTAAGAAAATAATGACTAAATAAAAATTATAATTGTAGTCTAAAAAATAAAAGAGCAAACAAAGCCTTTATCATAAGTTAAATTACATATTCTTTAATTGATTTATTAACATCAATTTGTATGATTTACTCAGCTTCAATTAAGAACAGGTTTAGATTCTAATTATAATTTAAACTTAAATTGGATTTTTTTATTAAAATTTAATTTCAATTTCTTATTATAATGGAGGCCGTTATTTATATAAGATTTCAGATTTAATTTTAGATTAAGGTTTCAACTATTGCTCTATTTATGCTCAATTTCATGATCATAAGAGGAGATTAATTGTAATATTTCTTTATGTTTTAAGATATGTATGGTCCCTAATCTCAAATATTTAGAAAATCTTAATCACATAATAATTATGTTAAGTATAATCATAACTATTCTTTTTGTTAGAAAATTATCATTATGCTGTTGTTAACAAAAAAAAATGGCAATGTTGGATCCTAACACCGCACAAGCCAAGCATGCAGAATGTTTGCAGACAAATGAGCTGGAAGCTAATGAAGAGATTCAGGAGGATGTGCAACACAACATCAAGGACCCAAGTGGTTGAGGAGTTATGATAGAAAAACAGTAATAACAGAGCTGTCCAAAGGCTTTGTATTTAATTCTGTTCTGTTATTAGTTAGAGGTTAAGTCCTGTAACTGTTACAGTTATTTCAGTTTGTAACTGAATAAATGGTTAGTATAGCCTTGCCTTAGATGAGTAAATACAGCAATACTAGTTGGAGTAGTATAAATACCTTAGTAGGACTGAAACTAAAGAAGATTTTCCTTTCTCACCATCCTCCCTGTTTTGTATGAGTCAAATTTCAGCAAGATCGTGTTAATCGATGCAAGTGTAGAATGAGATCCAGTTCGTAGAGATTCAGAGATCCATTCAACAATCATTTGCCCAATTTACAGGACACTTATCCTACCTCGACGCAGAATAATGTTCGGAGACCAATCAGAATGCATCATATCAGCGGTACCGAGCACAGGGTGACATGACGCATTCTGATTGGTCTCCGGACGGTGTTCGACGTCCGCACAGAATAATTTTTCCATCGAGTGACTAAATCGTGTGGCTTTTTCCGCTCTCTGCCTAATTATGGCTAGCAATTTGTATATATTTGCATTCCTATTTCACACCAATCCTTCCAAACCAAAAATGTAGCCTCTGGGTAGCAATTAGCATGCAGGATTCTTGCCAAACTGGTTCCTGCATCAAAGCTTTTTTAAAGAGGCATGTTTTGTCCTTGGTGCAGCGGCAACCAAAGAAGTATTAGGTTCACTGCAACTGATCTTTTGGCAAAAATATGCAGACAGAAGAAAGTTGTCTGACAAGTTTGCAACCAGTGAACTCCATTGTTGCATAGGGGCTGAGTTAATAATCAGTATAATGTCACACTTGCCCGTCATATGTGATTAGTATTCTTCTATTATTAAAAACTTCAAGAAATTTAAGATTCTGCAATGGATTTGAACCCCAAATAAATTTGGACCCCAGCACAATAAAAACATATCAGAAACAGTCTAGCAGACATCATCTCTGCACCACGATGGAAAAGCTTCTCACACTGTTGCATTCAATGCAGTCTTGGCCCTACTGTGTCTGAAATGAGCATAGCAACAGAAATTCTGAACAAATTTTCGGTGCCATTACAACCTGTGGGATCTGATTGTTTAATCTGCTTAAGATGGTACTGCAGGAATCATAAGCAGTGTTATAATTTTTTAGCTTTAGAAAGTTTGACGTTGAACGATTGCCTCATCATTCTTGTACTGTTTAACTATGTTCTGAAATTTTGAATTTGATTTTTCTCTGAAGCTTCCTGTAGGGTCTTCTCTATCTCTGTTTGGCTGAACCTGCATTTCTGTTATATCAAATCATGTCTGCTGCAACTCTCTCTCTCTCTCTCTCTCTCTCTCTCTCTCTCTCTCTCAATTAAAAGCCAAATTTATTACTTCACATAAGAGAGAGAGAGAGTATGAGATAAGCTATGTGATTTTACATGAATGATAGAAAATGAGTTAATAAAATTTTATGAAAAACTGATATGCTTATTATATACCATAAACCATATGAGTTATATATTAGAGCTTTTTTGATAGAAGATGAACTCACATATATCTAATGATTGGTTTAGTTTAATCTAATTGACCTGTGAGATCAACATCTTTTAATCAGTTAGATTGACTCGAGCTTAGCACGAACAATTTGGGATATACAAAACATAAATGGTTGAAATGTAAGTAGTTATATCTATGCAATTGTCATAATCCGAATTCAGAATATTCTCTCTCCCAATAATTGAAGGCTTAAGATGTGGTTATGATTAGCACTAATAATTGTTACTAAAAACATTATTAAACTCTCCATGTAATTAAATGATCAAATAAATATATGAATTGAATGTGAAAATTATCAAGACTCATGCATCGACATCAACTTTGTCTTCCAATCTCTTTTAGCCTCTCATTTGCTATGTGGTCCTCTCTGCTTTAAAAATGAGCAAATTTGTCAAAATGTTTGACATAAGCCTAAATGCACCAAATGATTTGGTGTGTTCTGAATGAGCCAAATCATTTGTCGAAACAGGAGATATATATGATTCCGAGAAAGAGAGAGATGAGGAGAGAGATAGAGAGAGAAGATAAATGAAAAGAGAGAAGGAGAGAGATGTGGAGGGAGAGATGGGGAGAGAGAAAGAGAGATGGGGAGAGAGAGATTTAAATAAATTTTTTTATTTAAAATAGTATATCAACTAATATTTTAAAATTAATATTCAAATAATACTAAAACAATTATTTAAAATATTATATAAAAAAGTAGAAATATTATAAATTA